TTTTTTTTTTTAACTCTATGTTAGCAAAGCAGATGGTGCAGCTTTGGGGAAGTGCAGCCTGAGCAGAGGGAAGGCTTGGTTACGACTGGGGCCTCTGTGGGCCACTCTTTCCTCCAAGGACCCGTCTGCACCTCGGTGGACTTTGGTCACAGTAACTGTGTCAGTGACAGACATTGTGTGCCCAGAGCCTGGGACGCTCATCGAGAGGATTCCAGGTGTTGTCCTGGGGTACTCGACAGAGACCACTAAATGTGTCAGCGCCTCAGAAGAGGTCTCTGAAATGCAAAGCAGCCCACTGCTTTCAGTTACCAAGCCCGGATACTCTGTGCCGGCACGGACGCACACCCAGCGTGGTTTCCAGCACACAGCAGGCGTGCCAATTCGGGGCAGCTCAGGCTTCTGCCCGTTCACCAGAACGGCCCTTTGCAGCCCTTTGCATTTATTTGTACCCCAGCTCGTCAGTCCCTGCCCAGAAAGCACACCCGAGGGATTGAGCTTTTCACATTCTTGCAAGCAAGGGGTCCAGTGTTTGCCTACATGTTGGTTATGAAAAAGGGGCTTCCAGCAGCACCAAGGAGGGCTCCACCGAGCACAGGGACCCCTGCAGGCCGCACAGTGAGTCAAGGAAATGCAGCAGAGGTGCAGATTCCTCCATTTCACTTCTAGAGGTAACCAAACTGGCCCACGTCACCCTGGTACTCCTAGGACCAGAACCTAATGGAAGCTGAATTCCCCATGTGCTCAACACCACGTGGGGGATCCAACATGGATCAGTGCCTTCTCCCCACCTTACCGTCTTGGGCAACTTGGGAGTGAGGAGCTGAAAGCCAAGCACCCTGTGGCTTAAACAAAGAGCCATGAACGAGGCACTCACCCCCTTGCCGCTGACTTGCAGCGTTGGCTCTGTTCCTGTGGGTGAGTGGCTTTGGCTCCATGAGCTGCGCCTTCCCTCTGAGTCACAGCCCCTGAAATTCACATTCTCTGGCACAGTTCTTCCAGGACCAGGGAAAACCAAGGGCAGGTCTGTAGCTGCACGCAGGTGCTGTACCATGATCCAGTCCTGCCTAGTCTACCTCTTAGAGACTGACAACAGGTGAAGGCGATCTCCTGGTAATCCTTACTAAGTTTTGCTGGAACTCTCTCCAAGTCAAAATAATATCAGAGATTAAGAGAAAGACATTTGCCTATACAGATTTGTAAATCATTATAAAAAATTTTAAGTAGAAAGTATGTTGAATGCGCATCGTGATATTTCTATGGTGTCTGCAGACTTATGCATGTATTTTGTATATACATATTTGCATCTAAGTATTTGCATGTTAAATGACCACGACTATAAATACGAGTGTACATTGGCACCGAAGGAAGTTTTGTGTTCTAACAATAGCTGCTGTCTAGACCACTTCCCCTGTGCAGGGCACTGTATGTGCTGAGACCCTCATGAAAACTTAAAGGTCAACAGAGACCAGGGAAAAAGAAACAGCGTGTCAATGGAGTCCTCAGAGATCTGACTCAGATAATCAGTACAAATGGGGAACAAAGCCGCATTTGCGTTTCCCACCTGTGGGCAGTGACTGTCCGGGACCTCACCTCCCCCTCTCTTCTCCTCACACTGGCCTTACTAGAGCAGAGCCTGCTCCAGAGTGCGGGTGTTTGAAGGAAAATAAAACTAAACACCTAGAGACAAGGCCTTAGGGATGTGAGCTTTAGTAAAAGAGATTTCCTCTGTGCTCGCCCTCAGATTCATGAGCTAGATACACAATTACATTTCTGTGAACTCCCTGGTGTCACGTCCACATCTACCACTGCTCCACACAAAGGGGGAACAAAAGCCTTGTGGGTGGACACTGCCGAAAGGAAATGCAACTCTTGGGGTGCTTCTGTACTTCGAATGCTCCCCACAGGGCTCTCAATCCTGTATGCTCATTCTGTTATGAAAGGTGAGTATTCACCAGCTCTCAGCTCAGTAAAATGGAGACAAAACTCCCCAGGATGCAAGCGTGCACTGTCGGGAGTATCGAAGGAAGGTAGTTTAAGCAGATTGGTGTCCGCTTAGGTATTGGTGTCGCCTTTTGGTCAGAAAACATTTTTCCTAGGTACAAACTTCCTTACTGACCCTAATGACTAAGATTATCTTCGGTTATACTTTTAACCAAGTAATTCAATGGAATTATTAGAAAGCATACAAAAATGACTTTTTTAAATACCACTCTCCCTCCCAAGAACAGTGGTTCTCTGTTTTGCATCAAAAGCTATATGGAAAGAGATAGTGTTCTCGCTGCCCTTACCTCCCCGTGGGGAGGCGAGAGGACACTGGCCACACTTGGCTTTGTTCAGCGAGGCTCCTCCTAGGCAGTCTTTGTCCTCATCTGGAGCATGGGGCACTGGCCATGTGCCACCTCCCTCAGGGAGGAGCTGGGCCGCCGTCCCTCCAGGGCTCTCCTCCAGCTAGGATGACCATCAGCCATCGCTGTGGCTTCCCTGGAGCTCTAGATACTGGATAACTATCCCCCCTCCTTTTTTAAAATTTCATTGTGGAGCCTAACTCTGCTGTCCCATTCTCTTTTGTGACAAAGTGACCTGCGCCATGTGGATTGGGTGAAGTCATATTTGAATATTTGGAGCGAACTTCAGGCATACATCAAGGAGCACCACACCACAGGCCTTACTTGGAGCAAAACTGTAAGTACTAGGCCCTTCTCCACCCAACAAAACACCATAGAGACACGTATAGACAAAGGTATACCCTGTGGCCTAATAATTCATGCCTTAGAGCTTGCCTCCAGGAAAGGACAGACTAAAGTGTGCGTGGAAAGCTGTTTATGGAAATGTCGCTTGTCACAGGAAAATCTGGGAGCTGCCTGCATGACATACAGAAGGCTAATAGTCGTCTATGGTGAGAATGCAATAAAATACAGCCATTAAAAATGACCTTCATGGTGATTATGCAGAAGAGGATGTACCAGCTACCATTAAGTGATTCTAGTTCATGAGCATTAAGGTGGCATATATATTAAAAAGCTGTGATAAGAATTGGAAGGAGGCTGACCAGATAGCTCAGCAGATTAAAGCACCTGCTTAGGCAGACGCAAGGGCCAGAGTTCAATCCCTGGCCTACTGTGCCAGCCCCAACCCCAGGGTGCCCTGAGACGGCGATTGAGACTGGGCGTGGTGGCGCACTCCTGTAATCCCAGTGCATGGGAGGCTGAAAAACAGGAAGGATCACTATGAGTCTGATCTGAGTAGTGAGACCTTGTAGACCCTAAAGATCCAGTACTAGAGAGAGAGAGAGAGAGAGAGAGAGAGAGAGAGAGAGAGAGAGAATTGGAAGGAACAGGAAGACTACGATGTGTGTCATTTTAAGTGTTCTTAATTTATCTTTTAATGTATTAAAGTTTCTTGAACAGTATTTTTGGATTGCTAAGCAATAGTAGTCCTTTTAAAGGTACCAGAATAGTAAGAATGTCCTGTGTCGTCCCCACTCTAATTTCCACGTGGGCCACTGATCTGTCTCTCTTCCAGCTTTGCCCCGTGTTTTCCCTAGTCTCGGCGAGTGTTCCAGCTGTCCCTAACTATGCATGGAATCCTGAACACACCTAGTGTGGGTGGGACCAAAGGAAATAGTAGCTATTTCCAAATTCGTCTGTCTCGTATTGTTTGACCTTCACTGCAGTGTCCCGAGCATACATCATGCCATGTGCCCTAAGTTTCCAAAGGGAGCACCCCATCTTTCTCTGAGGCCCAGCCCCAGCATCAACTGCTAAGACCTCCACTAGGCCCCCTCCTGAGTTCATGGTTCTCTCCTGTGCCTCCTTGGTTTCTTGAGTATACCTGGGTCACAGGTTTCCCGAACGTGCCCTAGCATATGAACTGTAATCTTCCATGCGCTTTCAGAGCCTGCCCCACTTGCTTACAAGCTCATGTCTTCTCCAGGCACTAGCACAGCGCCTGGTTCAGAGTTAAGGGCTCGGTAAGTGGTTGAACTAAATATTGACTTAGAGACCCAGCACCTTCGTTGCTTTTTGGAATCTCTACTGGTTTTCCATGGAAATGCCTTTTCATTAGAAATGGTTAATCCTTTTAACTAGGGGATGGATGGTTGCTCTGCCTTATGTATAAATGTTTCCCAACCTATGTACTCTGGGGACATTTGGTGAAGGTAATTGGATCATGGCGGTGCTATACTCATCAGGGATTCATCTGCCCATGAGTCCGTAGCTGAATATGCTGTTACAACAGAGCTCTGGTCGAAAGAGGCAGTCACTGGGGGTGCAGCCTAGAAGTGGGTATCCTGGTCCCCAGCTCCTCCCTTCTCTGTCCCTCTGCTTCCTGACTGCCTTTAAGTTGCAGGTGTTGGACATTTTATCCCAGCAACCAGAAAATGGCTAAGACACTGGCCTACCCAGTCAATGTTGAAAACTTAAAGCAGCTTATTTTGATCCCATTCAAAGGTAGAACTCCCTCTGCCAGCGGCATCTACTGTCCCTGCAGAGTGTTGGTGTCAGTCCTTCCCAAAGTGGTTTGTGAATTTTCAGTAGAACGTGGGTTTTCTGCATCTGTTCCCCAACACTGGGCACAGTGCTAGCATTGAGCCCCTCAACCCAGACGTCTCCTCTTGTCTTCTGCTTTGCTGCCCCCATAGCACTGAAATGCACAGGGCAAGGTGCAGCTAAGTTAATTGTTGTTCTCTGCCCCCGTTATAACTTTCAGTAGGAGAAGTCATAGCAGTTGAAGCGTTCTAGTAAGGAAGGGCATGTGTGGATGGAGTGAGTGTTTATGTAGACTACTTGGAATTACTTTTCACCCATTTCAAATGTGATGGTGTTTTGTTATAGATCAATGTGTCATAAAGTGGAATTGTCACCTCCTTGCTACGGAGATAGGTCATCATTAGAGAAGGGTAAATTGCAAATGAAGAGTCTTTGGATCTGTTATTATTTCATGGTAGATAAATGCAAAAGGAATGAGATTCCGTTTGTAGAAAATGATGTCAACAAGTGCTAGGCTATTAGTTCTCTAATGGTACCCATGGAAAATGAATAGAAAATTACTTTTAGATGGCTTGAATACCTTTATTGCAGTTTACAAAGCAGAGTAATTGTGTTTATGAATATAAAAGGAAATTGATTATTAATTATAGAAAAATAAATGTGGCTATTTTCCTTTGTTCTGCAGTGAATGCTTATTTTATTTGCTCAGTAGAAACACATAGTTTATGACAGTGACTTTCAAACTGTTTAAGACAAATCATAGAAATAAACACATTTAACACACACTCTGCACAGGCACAAAGCAAAAACAAGTTTCACAAAGCAATCCTCTTTTATTCTTATATATATTACATTCTGATATTTTCTTTTTTTCATTGTATGTCATGCTATAGAAAATTCTGCCTGAAACTCACTAAACTGATTTTGTAACTCACTAATTAATGGGCTATATCCCATGTGTGAAAAAAGTGTTATTAAACTTAAATATTATGTTTATACAAAATACAAATGACCCCCTGGGCACCATGGTCTGCAAGGAAATGGCAGCTGTCACTTATTGAACACACAGTATTCTAATTCTGCTCAAAGCCGGGCATGGTGACATATGCTTATAGCACTCCAGGGGCTGAGGGAGGAGGATTGTTGTGAGTTCAAGGCCAGCCTGGTCTGCACAGTGATTCCAGGCCATTCTGAACTACATAGTGAGACTCTGTCTTAAAAATAAAAAGATAAAATGGTAAAAGTGGAGCATCTGTGTCACTGTGGGAAACATTTTTGTTTTGTTTTGTTTTGGTTTTGTGCTAAGGATACAACGCAGAGCCTCGCTCGTGGTAAGCACAGGCTGTTATACTGAACTACATCTCTAGCCCCACTTCGCTTCAGTACTGGAACTAGAAGAGTAGGGTAATAAAGCGCTGGGCAGACAATGAAAGTAGGGCATGAGCATGGCAGGAGGTGTTGGGTCAGCAGTAACGTCGCACGCGCAGACCTTTTGACAAGCCTGAGGAGATGTGCGTGGATTTGTATTTCCTGGTATGTGTATCTTATGGTTTTGCCTAGGCTTGGGGAAAGGTATTAAAAAGTTCATAATAAAAATTACCCTTTGACTTTTAAAATTAAGTCTCCTTTAAATTACTAAGAAAATGTTTTTAGGATTCTAGGTATAATCCATTGCCTAAATCAAACTAATTTCTCCATCCATACTCTGTTCTGGCAACAGACCAGTGAAATGGAGAGTAGAACAATTAAACCCAGCATCAGAGCATTGCTCCAAAGAGGAGGAAAAGCACTATTAAAATTATCTGATCAAATGGTCTATAAGAAGAAAAAAATAAGCGCAATCCTTGCAAAGAAAAAAAAAAAAAAAAAAGCCGTTGACTCCACAGATCCCAACTACATCAAACTCTGTAACATAAGATGCTGCAGATCAGGAAAGAATGTAGCCGAGGGGCAGCATCTGCATGTGCCCACTCTGACTCTGCGGGGTTCGGATTTTAGCAGCTAACTCGGACCCCATGGACTCTGCCAGTTACAGCGTGCCTGTGCACATTGTATATTTTCAGCAGTTGTTCTTTTCTTCTGTTTTCAAGTTGGATTTTGAGTTTTGCACCAAATGTGGTTTGTAGTGACCAACAGGAGCTGCTTGAGACCCTGGGTTTCCAAGGGTACATGGGTCCAAGCACCCCCTGAGCTAGCCCTGGACTTGCTGGCTCCTTGCCCTCACCCCCTTGACCTCTGCCATCAGGCTGCAGCCGTGCCAGGCAAGGACAGAATGTGAAGCTCTGAGGCCAGGGATTCTTCAGCTGTGTGTGTGTGTGTGTGTGTGTGTGTGTGTGTGTGTGTGTGTGTGTCTGTACACAAGTGTGCTGGGTGCAAGTGGAGGAGGAATTTCCGGGGAGGAAGCAACTGAGCAGAAAGCCATCTGGAATTTCTGGTTGCGTTGGCTGTGGCCATTGGAATCTTGTCGCTTCTGTGGGCTTTCCTTGACCTGAAGCCAGCTGTCCATGACATCCTCTCTACACCAGAACCTACTTGCCACTTTTAGTGAGTGTAACCAACTCCTCGGACTCTTTCGTGCTAACTGCATTCTCCCTTGCGTTCTGGCTCAAATAGAGATTGTGGAATAAATCACTCTTTGCCAAGGCCTGCTGGTTTTTATGGCCTTCTGCCATTGGTCAGATTTGTAAAATTCATGGGTAGTTCCTTCAAATCACATAACAAAGCTGTAAGAGTAAGGCCCAGTTCTTACTCTTAGGGTCACTGAAATAATGAGGGGGGGTTTCTATTAGTTGTCTAGATTGCCATCCAAACTATATCATTCTGTTCTGTTGGGGCTGGTTAGAAAAGGGACATGAAAAACATTCAATAAGCAGGATCAATACAATGACTTTGTTAACTTTCTGGCCTTAAATTTGTCGATTCATTTCTGTGTTTTCGTGTTATTTATGGATTACTTTAATTTTGGGGGAATACTAGGGTATAATCATTTGTAGAGTAGAATAAAATTATACATGAATAAATATATACAAAATCTTATGTAGGAGGCAGAGCCCAGACGGGTGGTGAGCGGAGCTAAGGGAGGTCGGTCCCGAAGCGGAGCCGGCTGAGCGGGCGCCGAGCTCCCGCCACGGCCCGGAACACGCTGTCCTCGCGCTTCCGCCGGGTGGACATCGATGAGTTTGATGAGAACAA